CTCCTTTGCCATAAAACACATCAAACATGTATTGTAGAGTGCAATACAGGATTGTACCATGTCATATGTGTGTTATCCTTGCCTTACAAAGTAAATTGACTTAAGAGTGAAAATAGTAAGCACTTGTTGGGTAATGAACTCCGAGCTAGCCAATCAGAGTGCGCGAAAAGCACTCCGGCTTCCTTGGAAATACCATACAGAGCTGAGAAGTTACTGAACTTGGCTGATAAGTATTATAGACTGTTAGACATCCATCTCGTTACAAGCATCGAGGAGAGTTGACGCAAAAGACTGGAGTGGTGACCGGGTTGTTTTGGTCCGACTTTTCATTTCTCATATGAGATAAGCAACAGTTTCGGGGTTTTATTATCGACTCTTTATTAAGGTTTGTCATTCTTAGGACAAATTTGTGAAAGGGTGACTGAGGCTAGTGGCAGCGGTCGTATAGAATATTCTATGATCAGAGAAAGTCGCAATTTGCATATCCGTCATTCTCTTAAACTCAGGTTTGTAACTATAAATGATTTCTGAGTGACAGATGCTTTGTTCTTTGAGTTAAAGTCGTTTTCCCATGGCTATTACTTTTCCAGACAGGCCATATCCGGCATGTGATTGTATCCATAAGGATAATGTCATCTTGATATAAAACATCAAAACAGCCGCTTTGAGTCACGAACAAGTTTTTACCTGCCAAAACACACTTTTACATAAATCGTTGATTGTTGAAATGATTACAAAGACGGAGAATTTTCGTCAATATCTCAGTTGCTTTTTGTTCGGGATTCGAGTAGTTTTTAGAATGGAAAGAGCGGTTTTAGAAGTGACATATTTAAAACACATAACTGTACAAGAATATGCCGGACAATAAAGCTCGTGTTGAACTGTTTTAACATAATGGTTTCATATACTATTGGTCACTTTTTAAGGCTGGATATTGTATTTAATTAATTCTAGTAGACTTTATTTTTTAAGAGAGTTTTTGTTGACAATAATGTCTTTTGTGTATATTTTATCACCTGTAATGACAAAATGGAAAGTGTATTTATGCGAATAACTTTTCTGTACTGGAAGTGAGTGATTTGTTCTAAACTGGTGTCGCACGTAGCTAGAATTGTTTTCATACTGAAGCAAAAATCTGTATTACTCTCTATTTATTGCGCCTAAAAAACACCTTTAGAACTCAAATATACAGGTGACAACTTGTAATTCGATAAGATGAAATTAGTTTTCGTCTTGAATCTAAAACCTTCAACAAACTGCAAAAACATTCGAGTCATAATATCGTGATAAGGCAGGATGTTAAAAAAATCTTCTTATTCTCTGAATCACAATTTAATTTGACGGTGGGAAAGTACGGACCTGCGCTTAAAAGAAGTAAGCAACTAAGGTGTTTTGCTGGTTTTGATCCCCTTACAACCTAAAATAATTTGCATCATTCCCTGCAGAATTTTTTTAAATTTCTTTTCTGGTCATTTCAGTCCAACTCGACTGGCTTTTTTTACTTAAGTTCATCACCAGTAAAGATAAAGCTGTTTAATATTTGAAGCATTTTGGTTTTGTTATTAAGTGATTTTAATTTTCAAAATCAGATTTATCCCTTGATAATGAAGCGTAACGTTACGACACTTTCATTCTTAAGAAACAATAAATGAAAAATTTTTCCCTTTATTGGAGGTACGAAAGCATTGTTATGGTCTTTTAATGTAAATTATTCATAAGACAAATTCTTGTTTCTTTATGCAAAATTGCTTTTAAATGGGGTGGCGTTTTGCAAACCGGATCACAGTACAAATTAGTCAGAGGGAATAAAGAGGCTTCTGTGCTTTTTCGTGCTGTATAGGGCTGTACCACAACGAGTGCATATTTACCCTGCAGTTTCACCACTTGGAGACAACAAAAAAACTTGATATACTGTATGTAGACGGTCTTCCCAGGATAACCGAACTTTAATTAAGTAAGCCTTGTATCTTGTAACATTTTTTTGAGCCAGAAAAAGATTTATGTCTTATGATTTGCAAGTACGAAATTTGGATCAAAATTTAAATTACTGTCCTATTTATCCTTGCAGGGATTTTCTCAGGAGGTGGCTAAGTGAGAGATGGCGCTGAAGTACTAAGGTTGCGGCGGTCACATGAGATCAGGAATCTTGTCGCGAGTACCCCTCAACTAAATCAATCAATAGTCAACAAACGCATCCGCATGCACCGGAAATGTTTAAATATGGCTCGAATTATCCAAGATCTCTCGATCTTAAAATGCATTTTATTTTGGTTCGTTGTCCTCGGTAAGTTTTTGCTCTTAATTTTTATCTTTTTGCTAATAAGAGTTGATTTGGCATATCATTCAATTAAAATAGATGACGCATTTGGAAGGCGGATCAGGCAAAGAAGTTTACAATCAATTCCACTTAGAATGTTCAAAAAAGATTGCTTCATTTGTTGAGAAACAAAAAGTAAATCCATTGAGCCATCAATTCGATCGAAGTTGTTAGTGGTGTGATTTTGTTACTACCTTGACCTGCTGATCCTATTGTGCTGAACATAACTGAACTTAGGTATTTATCAATATTCATACCCCGTTAATTGACAAACTATTTCGAAATATCTTTAGTACTTACCCATAAATGATAAATCATTCATTCCCTGGTGATAAGTTCTTTGTATTTTCTTCACACTATGCCAAACCACTAAGCACGAAATATGGAAAATTTAACGTAAAAAGTTTTTGAGGCCTTGGTTCAGTTTTTGAGGCCTCGCCCGGGGTCGAGCGGCCCTGTTTTGCTTAAAAAGAGGATTTTTGAACCTAATCGTGATACAGATAATGAAATTACACGGCTTTTTTGTCGTGATCAAAAATTTCTTCCTTGTTGACGAAATTACAACCGCAACGTTTCATTGTGTATACACATTATCTTGCTAAAGTCTTTTTGTGGCCAGTGTTTTAGACAAAACATTTAATTTCAACTAGTAAATGATGCAATTCAGTAGTTTTCGTAAAAGTATTTTGACCGTCACCATCACTGTTTTAGAGGTGGTTAAACTACGTTTAAAACGGAAAATCACGTTCCAGTTTTCAACATATGCCATCCAATTCCGAAAACGTTTTCTATAGAACTTTAGCTGAGCAATTCTCCACAAAAAAGTGGATATTCAGAATCGGATGATCGAAACGGTGATCAATAACCGTTGCTATTTACATGCACCTTGAATTAAATATCTTGTGCATTTATTAACAAACAAATACATACTGGTTTACTTTCAAGAAATTTTAAACGTTGTAAGAAACACTTAAGCATATAAGTGTCTTTGCTAGTTACATTTTTCCGGAAAATGTAATTCATCATAACAACCATAAAGTTCAGTTTACCAGTCTAAAATTGTGTATCATTTTCGGGCGAAGAAATTTCAACGATAAACGATCAAAACGTCAATTCTATTCTCTATCGCTACGCTCAGCCGGATAGACAATATTTCTGTTATAAGCCATGATACATGGAGGCATAGAGGAAGCCGCCAGAAATCGAGTTTATTATACCAATAAGAGTTACAGCAAAAGTACCAAAATAAGGGATATATGTGAAAAATAAAGATACAGAGCCTAAGAAAAGCTAGATCTCGATAGATCATCAAAGACACATCATAAGCGCTGACAAGATCATGCTGAGCAAAAAATTAACAAAGTAGACGGAGTCAGATCACTAACAGAGATGCGAAAGTAAAAGTACAAATTATAAAATATATAATAACTTCATACATAAGAAAACGAAAAAAGCAGCTACGGGTAAACTGGGGGGTCAATGATTAGAATGGGAGCTGAAGCAAACAATGTAATCAACAATTAAAAGAAAAAACATTTTAACCACACCTGTGGCAGTGGATCTAAGGAGGAACCCTGGGACCTTCTTCCCGCCTCCTTTTTAAGCCAAGAAAAATTATTTTCGCCGCAAGGCCTCTCTCTTATTTTGTGGGCTACTAACTCGAACATCAGAATCGGCCACGCTAACTGGCAAGGATTCAATAGAGAAACCTCCTTAAGCTACAGTTGATACTTCCTCCAGTCTGTGCTAGTATCGATGTTTCGTTATTAGTCGTTTCGTTATGTAGATGGTCATAGATATTCCGAGTTTTCTTCTATGTGAAAGATGATGACAGTGAAACTAAAAATTCAACAAATTCCTCCCCCAAGACCTTTTAAATATAGCTCAGTGTTGGGTGTACGTGCACACAAACGTTTATTTATAGTAATTATTACAGTTCCATTTAAGGTAAAAGACCACGTCACCCCCATAGCCAAAAGTCCCCACATAAAACAAAGTATTATTCGCAAGGATTTTAGCTGTTATTATTTTCCAAAAGTGTACAAGACTACACTACAAAGATTTACTTGTTGCCTCCTAACTGATTGTTTTACTGCGTTTTATTTTCCGACGCTGGACTTTCACCGAAAATTCTTCACACCTGGATTGTGTTTTAGTTTTGCCACGTTTTTCCTGTAAGTGATATAAGAACACACTAAGAACACGATATCCTCTCGTAAGCTGCCAGATGGTAGCAAGAGCTCTTAATAAATAGACCTAAGTACACATTTATGTTAATTTGTAAGCAAAAAAAGTACTATTTACTATGATATATTGGTTATTTGTGCACGGTATTCACAATAGAAAGACTAAAAGCCACTGCTATGGCACTCAATTTTAGCATGTTTCTGTTCTTTCTCTGGGCTAAGCTTTGACGCAAACGGATACACGGATATCATTGTCCACTTAGGTTGAATTCTTGTTTTTCAAGTTTCTAGGTTTTTATTCTTTCTAAGACAGTGAAATTCGGGTATCCATCTCTTGGATTAGATCTCTCAAGGCTCTGGTCTACTTGGCTCCTATCCAAAAACCACGAGAGAAAATAAGTGATCACAAATACTTGTCCATTCTTTATCCGTTAGTTCCTCTTTATCCGTATCCTGTCTGGGGATCTCCATATCAAAGCGCGGATCACTACTGGCCCATGTATAACATCACCGATGGTTTCTTGGAAGATGTAGAGGGTGCCGCACACACTGTTGTCTACAATGGTGGGAAAACCATCGAAGTGCCTCAGTTAGGATATGCGCTGGTTTTTGATGGAAAAGACGACTGGGTGGATACAGGTAAATACATTAAGTGTCTTGCTGTCTTCAGCCATTTGAGCTTAGAAAAGTAGGCTTTTACTGATTTAACCAGGCTTGACATGTTTTTCATTTCCTAGGATTCTAATTTATTCAGTATAGAAAACTTGAGCACTTAATTGTAGCCAAAACCACTATAGTAGTTTTTTTTCCAGGATTTTAAAAGTTATTCTTTCACGAGACTCTTGTCAAGCAAGTATAAACAAACGTTATCATTGTCTTTCTAAAATACGCGACAACTCTATCTCAATCCAGCTACGACGAGATCAGTTTCCTTTTAAAGTTTGTAGAAAAGTGAACTTTTCATAAGCATCAAACTCACCTGAGTTCGAGTTCAGGCCCCCAAAATTTGTTTGCCCTTATACATTTTGCACATACTGACAGAAATCATAACAACATATTATCCTAGACAAAAGAAAAGGGGATATTGTTGATAAAATGTCGTGTTAATATTAATTTTTTTATGGAGTAATATAAAGATATATTTTGTTGACAATTGACAACTCTCCTCTAGGGAGGAGTCGGCACTGCAGTTCGGTCCCCTCCGACAAGTTTGGTTGTAAGTACGGTCTCACTTCCAACACCACCTCTCCACAACTCACTTTAGGGACACTGTCATCTATTCTATGGCGATTTCGAAAATGCCAGCTTTTCAAACTGTTATTCAACATTGCTCAAAAGAAATTCACGCAATGGCGAAAATGGCTAATCTAATGAAAAATCTCCAGAGGGTTGAGGAAATTTTAAATAGCGAGGGATTTCCTTTGACAGTGGCAATTTTGGCTAAAATGAGATATTTTAAAAAATTAAAATTAAAATAAAATATAGTAAAATGTCATATTTGACGAATTTGGCGAACGTTCGTCAAATTCTTAGGAAAATAAAATTCAAATGAGAAGGTAAAGGGGCCCTTTGAAAGTGGTGATTTGGACGAAAACGGCGAAAATGTTTAACTCTTGCCAAACTTTGGCGTATGTTCCTATGACTTGGCAAAGAGTTCCCTTTTAGAGTGGCGATTTGGGCAAAAATGGTGAACATGGCGAAAATTCTCCAAACTCTTAGGATTCAGAAGGGGGACCACTAAAGTTGCTTGGAAAATGAAGACATGGGTGGGGGGAGGGGTCACTTCAGTGAAGTAACATTCAAAGGGGGGATCGGCTAAATTTCACCTTGTCTAGCCCCAAATCCTCCGCTCCCCCCCCCCCCCCCGCCTTCGGCGATAAATAATGACCGGTCCCTTGGGACGACTTTAATACCCTGGAGTTGGAAACAATGGTTATGTAAATTTCTAGGTGCATTATGATCTATGAGTAAGTAGTGAATCAGATGGCAACGGGGCCCTTTTAAAGTGGCGATTTTGACGACAATGATGAACTCTCTTTAAAGTTTGGCGAATGTTGCTATAACGTGGCAAAGGGTCCCCTTTGAGAGTGGCGATTTTGACGAATATGGCGAAGAAACCCCTTGCCACCTCATAAGAATATTCGCCAAACTTTGGCAAATTTTCTTCTTTTTCGCCATTGCGTGCATTTCTGTACATATTTCAACTTTTTTCAGAAGCGCCACGGCAGCTCTTCATTAAGAGCACTTTATATGTTTATCTGAATTGAAAAATAATAATATTCCTAGATCTTACAATTTACTGTAATAAGGTAAACCCATGAACTCGTATCAAAGACTGCCTTATAACAGGATACGCGGTAAATGAATGGTCTGTTTCCGTCAGAGCCAATCAGAAAGCGTTGAGGATATGAAACTTAGTAGTTTCTTTAAAACAAGTTCAAGTGTGATGCATAAAAGAACAAACAATTCATGTCCGTCGAGGGCTTCAGGTTTCATATTTACATAGTGTTCCTGATCTTCGATGAATCTGTTTTAATTTTTCTTTTTTCGCTAAAGTACAAACTGGAGTAAATTTTCTCATGTTCTTTATTTGATTGAAGAAATGAAAATCCCTTAAAACCAGGTAAAAGCAGGTTCAGTGTAAGGCTTGCTTTGCTAACTAAGAGAAGAAGCGCTAGCCCTGATTTTCGTCAAGCCATACTTGTTTGAAGATGAAAGTAGTTCCCCCAGGAAAGTCACTTTAAAACTTGATTTTGTTGATTGATCTTTCTGACAGGGCTATTTTGGAACTTCATGGATGGGGGGGGGGGGAGGGGGGGGGGAGAAGGAGATGAAGATTAAGGAAATTAGGATTAGTCAGGTTAACGGCCGCGGAACTTTACACATGATGACAGTGTTCCTTTATCACAAGCACCTTTTTGTCAAACTTCTTTTTCCGCACACTTTCATTATTTTAGCCTTACCAGGCTGTAACTCTTTTGAGTACTTTTCCATCGCCTGTACGTCATGTATTTAGTAAAAATCATTTTATTTTCAAGTTTTCTATTTGTCTTTGGTTTGCGTTTGATTTGTCTAGCTTTAAACTAGAAAGACTTTGCAAAGCTGACAGCTAGTGATTTTTACTTTTAGATTCTTCAATGACAAAGAATCTTATTTCTCCTTATGTGATAATGCCTGGTAATAAGTCTAAAGACAAAGAGAATAAGGAATACTATCACAACACATATATAATAGCCTGATCTTTAAACAAATTTTTCCTACAATAGCATCAGTACCAGAGGATAGTGAATAGCGGAGAATAGTGTGGAGAATATGCACGTTGATATCGTAGGTTCAAGGCCCAGTATATCAGCTACTTCCTGCCGCGTTGTTTTGAGTTTCAGATATTGAGATTGATGAAAAATAGTTCGGGAAAATAGTCCAGTTAAATTAGTCAACAAGTGCGATTCAAGAAACCAAAAGGTTGTTAAACTACACTATACAAACAACAAAAACATAGCTTGCTTTAAGTTGCATCCTCCGTTTAATTTATTCCTAAAGTAGTTATATTTTTCACAGCTTTAGTCATCCCAGTCCTCTTGCCAATAATTGGTGTAATAAGTAAGTTCCAAGGACTCTTGGCTATAATGCTCTTTTTTTTACACAAGTCTATTTATTTTTTGTTATTCAAATCTCACTGTAATCACAATCGACAGACGCGTTTAGAATGCAGTGCTCCGCTGTCTGAACTCTTCAACACTGTTTCGTTTTGTTTGGCAAATTAGTCGTTCCCCACTCCCCACCCCTGTACAGACACCCGTCTTTATGATTTTCTTAACTTCTTCTTATCATGTTTGAAGGTGGTTTTAATGCGGATTGCGTGACGGATCCCTCGACTTGCCGGAAGGGTTTTACTTTGACTTTCTGGCTCAAAGTATACAGCACAGGGTTCATTATATCTTCGGGATCATTCACAAACCACAGGAACGGCCCTGGATTCCAGCTTTATTACCACCAAAGCCTGAAACGTTTCCAATTTTTACTTGAAACACGAAATAAAAGATGGACGTTGTTAATCCATCAGGATGTTGGTTATTGGACACACATGGCGTTCACGTGGCACAACCAGAACGGACTGAAGTACTACGAAGATGGTAACCTCAGCACGTTTACCGACCGACCAGTGTTACTGTCTCCGCTACGCCTACAAAATTATACGCCAGTTATCACATTAGCTCGACCGAGCACCCTGAGGAGGTTCAAAGAGTTTGGAAAATTTGAGATTTCGCAGTTAGCGATTTGGCTCAAAGACCTGTCGGCAGACGATATCGCAGGAGTGTACTCCAATGGAGTGATACTTTTTCAGGACACCATTCTTTGCTGTTACTTCAAGGGAGGTACTACAGTATAAGAGGAGAATATCTCTGTAGTGTAATGCTAAACTATAAACTATAATCCAGTCCGCGGAACGTACCTATATAGCTTACTACTTAGAGTACCTTTGTTCGAGTGACAAACGCCATCATCTATTCCAACTCTTTGCTTCAGGGCATATTCTAGAGCATTGCTCTGCTCAGTCCAAAATTAATCAGTATAGCATCTATTAAGTCCCTTGGAACGAGCGCATTAGTAAATAAGTTGAGGTCCCTTTACAAGTGAATTTATTCCTCGGTTACAGTCTGCTGCAAATTGTGGCAAAACACCGCCGTTTTAAGATAAAACATTGCTATTATTGCCAGACAGACATTTTCCATAAACCTTCGTTCCTAGATTAAATGATGAATTTTACTTACTTTCAGTGAACCCTTGTCTCACAAATCCATGCCATGATGGTGATGCGTGCGGAAAACTAAGTAAATCCAGTGAAAAGAAGTGCATCTGTCCAAACGTCAACTTAAAAATGAAAACATGCACAGGTAAATAGCTGCAATATTCCATGTACCATGCAGCATCTACAAATTACAAACTGGCCTCAAATAGGCATGACCCTCACCGAAACAAAATTTTTACATCTCACTCTCCCACTGACGCAACACCACAGTTTGCTTAGAGACTAACTTGGTCTCGTAATGTAATTCTAAATCTTTCTATTGATTTGCTGGATTTCTATTGAAAGTGACCCAGTTCATAAAAAGAAATTGATAGATGCTCTGGAGAATGGTAATAATGATAGTAATAACCATGACGTCTTTTCTTTCTGACCGTACTACCATCATAATAGCCTCATGATACTGACCATAGCAACGATGACAATAGAGCTATGGGTAGGTTGATTGAGTCAATGTTGATAATGCTGCTTCTCACGGCTAATGATCATTGTGATACCCGTTCTTATACAATTAGACTTTTACTTATTGATTTTTAGAGAACATAACTGGTGTTTGCGAAGACAAAAGTACAGGTTGCAGGGGTTTTGCTGAGCAGTCTTATTACTGCAAACACAGAAAAATGCGTGAAATATGCCCAAGGTCTTGCTCCTACTGTGGTGAGTATTAGTGTGTTTGACAGTAACAATGAGTTGACAAAGTTTAGTGTTCGCGAAACCCTTAACATTGTTTACAATCAGTTTCGTGATGTGTGGTGTGTACAAATAATCAGACCGCCGTCTTTCTCTTCATTTTGAGGCTATTAACCCTGAAGTTCAAAAACATTTTTGACGTTCTCAACTCAAACTTTCATTTTTCGAGTTCTACCTACAAGGTGTCAATAACTTGAAACATCGGATTCAAGAAGGGTTGTCGGTATACAGCGAAAAGTAAAGTGTGCGCAAAGAATTTCCAAAGGTTATGTTCCGTGAAGAGGCTACCACTACTAATCAAAACGTTCATTTTTAACAGTAAATGCAAAAAGGTGCATTGAAGATCGAGGGTCAAGGTTTTTTACGGTTCGGTCTAAAGATAGTGAATAAGTAAATCTGGCAAATTTAATGAGATTCATTAGCTGTATCCTAGCCTACCATTTTTGATTTCTCAAATTGAATGTGAAGATGACGCATGCGCAGCCGGGTTATCAAAACGTCACTCGCTGAAAGAAAAAAGACTACATTTACCCGGGTGATCATATTTCACCTACTGCACAAAAAAGAAGTGTCTGAGCTTTACGATTTATATTTATTATCTGTCCCTATTACCCAGGAGCTTCACGTCCTTCTACAACTCTAAAACCAACCTTAAGTACCGGTTCTACATCGATGTCCCGGATTGCCAGAGGATCTAGAGACCCAGTCACGCCTGCTCCATCTAGTTCGCCTTCTCAAAGCAAAACAAATAGCCCAACGACACCTTCAAAGCGGAGACTACCTAGAGGTAAGCATGATTTGATTGCCAACTTGAGGTTTCCATTACATGACGGACCTCCTTTTAGAGTAAAAGGCACACTAAAAAGAAGCTTACATAGACCTACTTTATATTAAAGATCCGTAAATTAAACTTGGTTTTTATCCGTGATGGACTGCAGGCACTGCATGCTCAACAAATAAGAGCAGCCATCAAACTCAAACTACTGTACCTTTAAAATTAGTAGAAGTTTTTTCTCTGACAGGTCAGTCGTGCAAGGACCTACAATGCCCTCCCTACGCAAAATGTTTCCAAACAAGTAGGGAAGGTGCGGAATGTAGATGTCAATTCTCATGTGATAAGGAGGAAAGGAATCTCATCTGCGGAACTGACGATAAAACGTATCTTAACCATTGTGTCTTAAAAATGGAAGCTTGTCGACTGGGGAAATTGATCAAGATTAAATCAAAGGAAGGCATGTGCAGTAAGTGACACTGTCGCGGTAAAATGGAACTTTAAGCTTGGAGAGTTTCCATTAAGTTAACTCATTCTTATGATAGTGGTGCGCCATAAGCCCTGGCCAAGGATTAGCGTTAGGCAATGGCGAAGTGACAATATTTTTGTGTTAGTCTCCACTGGTGGATCCAGACCTTCAGATAGGGTGGGGGCCGGTCATCCAGAACCCGAGATAAGGGGGGGGCCCCGGCCTCCAAAAACGTTTTTTTCGGCCCTTCGGGCCTCATTTTGGTCTAAAAATAAGGGGGTGGCCCGGGCGCCCTGGGCCCCTCCCTGGATCCGCCACTGGTCTCGATAATACTTTTGCACCTTTTGACCTAATCAACAGATCTCAGTCGATCTCAGGTTGATCCTGTTCAGTCTCTCTACTCATATTAACAAACAATCCATTGCAAAGAGAAACAACATGAGCCACACCCCCATCCGCAGGAAACTCTTTAGTTGTCCTCTGTTGCCTCTACTTACCCCCTCCCCCCCCAAAAAAAAACGACAAAGTAACAATGGACATTAGAAAAGAGAGTTGTACAGACTGACGGTTTATAGAACAAAATTAACAACATCATACGACCAAATCAGTTACTAGGTCGTTAATTTTTAATTCCAAGTAAGAGGAAATTAAATTGCAAAAAACATATTTAGTTGTTAGTTCGGTGACAAGGTGAAGATGTTCTTAACTTAATATAAAATGGCATGCCCGTTTAAAGTGATTCTCCTTGTGTTGGGGTCAGAATTATTCAACGCATGAACTCTTCTTCTAAGTCTCGTAGAAATGTAAATTATTAAACTCTACGCAAGTGTCATCTCATGTGAGGAAACGGGCTTTTTTCCCAGTGTTGACACGGATCATCTTTCTAGAAAAATATGTTTTGAATCATGAAACAAAGCAAAACGAACACAAACAAAAACGTTTCCGACGTAAATTTTTTTCTCAGAGCCATTGTATAGCAGTAGTTAACTTTGTAGTTCAAAAAGGAACTTAAGGTTGAACTGATCTAAAGTGACTCGGATTCAGACCCTTTGGGCTTTCATACTAGGTTTCGGTCATTATAGTTAACAGGCTGAGTCGACCATGTTTAACTTAATCCAAAATATCTAGGCTAGTACTTATTTTTAACACTGTCAGGTTCATAAATTTTGTATCAGGTTTGGACAAAGTGATCTTGATTTATTATTATTCCTTTTCAAATAAACTTTTTTTCATATCAATAACAGAGTAAGTCGTAAGAAGTCAAAGGGAATAAGATGAAGGATTCAGTCATTGGAAATCACTTTCAAAATAAAATGTAGTCAAATCCATAAGAAAATTCATATCGTCCGTTTTCGTGTTCTTAACTGCAATTATTCTTGCACGCACTGTCATAATTAGGTTTTCATTAAACATGCACTATTCTTTGTGTTTACATAAAAACAATTATTTCATTTAAGAACGTGCCGCTAGCACTTGTTCCTATAAAAAGAAAAAAGTGTCTCAACACACCAGTGTTCTTATTATGTTTTGTTATTGTTTCACTTAAAAACACAGTAGGAAATCTTGGAGACTGCAGTTTACGTGAATATTTTTTCAGTAAAATCAAAATAATACGTTTGGGATTTGAGCCGAATCATACATTCGTGTTTTATATTTGCGCACTTTATATTTTAGTTCAGTTATGTTAATAAAAATGCAGTGACGTTCTTTATTGTAGATTGGAATAGCTCAAATACCTTTTATTACTGTCAAAGATCCCATTCGTTGCCACATTATCTTAACGTCTCTCAGCCAGTACTGGCAACGCGTTAAAAACCCATCTATTTACATTATTTTTGGTAATAACATAAAGATGAACTTAGATTTTCAAATATTTGATTAAATTTAGGGTACTAGTCAGTGTAATGTCCTGCAGAAACCAGGTGTATATAGTGTTTGCAAAGCTGTGGTCTGAAAATGAGTGGGCAAGGATAATTTTCTTCTGAAAAATGAAAAGAAAACGTATGAGAGTTTTAGTAAAGGGAGGGGGGAAGACTCTAACCTGCTTTTCAATTATTATAAGAAGAACTACTTACTCCCAAGGTAAAAGTGCAAAAAACGTTCATTAGCGAAAAAGTAACAAAACATGAGTTGCAAAACTGTTCCCATTTTTAAAAGTTTATTTATTGGTCGAGCTCAACCAAGAGATAAATCTATAATCCTTTCCTTTGCCAGTTATAAAAACATTTGCGATGTTGCGGTTGTCTCAAGTTAAATTTATATCCTTTTAGCCCTGCTCAGCTAAATGTGTTTGTAATCTGCTTCATTAACATGTAAGTGGATAAAAAGATTGTAGTTTGCCTGTTGTATTTCAGAATTCTCTTTGTTTCAAGTTGCTTCGTTGCCTTATTGTAATACAGAATTGTAGTAAAATTAAAACAACACTATAACGTCAGCATCTAGCAAAAAGCGGAGTTTGTAGCAAAGATTTTAAACCGGGTGGGAGGATCGAATTGAAAACTGCTTTCACGAGATAATTACACTGATAACTTTCACTAGTGAACAGAACGTTATAAATATTTTAATATGGTAAAATTGTAAACTCAAATTCATAACGAAATTGCTTGTTTTTTTAGATGACTGTCATAGTACTCCCCGTGCTTAAAGCGATTGCAATTAGAGACTATTTGCGCAGATCTTTCCAGATTGCTGCGACGAAAAAAGTTTCTGTGTGGTATCATTTGGCAAAATAAAAGACAGCTCAGAAAAATTACTTCCTCCTTCAGCCTTTTTACTCGAGAACGAGTCAGTCAGAAAGTTTGATTCGTAATCTGATAGGAACAAAAGCGATGCATAGAAAAAATTCACGAAAGTTAATCCAAATTTATAGCGAAACACGAAAGTGATTTTTTTATGGGCTTTCAATAATCTCTTCTTGAGTTTCCGAAGTTTGTTAATTAGCATTTTGAACAGCAATCGTAGCTGATCAGAAATGAATAAATTATGAGTTTGAATTTTTATTGATGAAAGCGTCAAATACAAACTACTCCAGCTCAGTATGACATTAAGCCATTCTTCATTCTCGAGCAAACGAGACCGGCGCCCGTTCACTATTCGTTGTTATGAGGAAAAAAAGGAAATGAGATCGCAACATGCTAAACTAAATCGACACCAAAGATGAAATATTCGCGGCCAGCATAAGTGTAATTAGTTTGCGGTGTTCATCCCCGTTGGCTCAATTTATCGACAAATGAACTTAACTCTGTGCTTGCTACTGCTGGGCATCCTTCTGTTTTCTTCTTGTTGTATTTCAAGTGTACGAACAAACCGCTTGAAACGAAAACACAGGAAACAAGCCTTTAACAGATTCCAAGGTGAGGAAATATTTCCTTTGGCAAGTAAGAACTATAATATCTGAAATTTCTTCTTCGCACTCAAAGTACTTTGCATGGCGAGTCCTATGATGTGCTAAACCATTTTTCATATCTAGCACCAGTTTACATTTGTAAAAGTGGAGACTCTCTGTACGGGCACGAAAACCCAAGGACAATATTCTTACTTGCGCAGTCAAACTTGATGATGACCTAAAACTGAGAACCTGTGACGACGACGATAAAAACGTCTACTGTTTTTGCAATACAGTTGCGTCTTATTTTGACTATTTCGATCTTTCATCATGTCTAAAATATCTCGAATTTTAAATTAGATTTAACTCGCAATCGGCGAGCCGCCAAAAGACAATTTCGTCTTGATGATTAGAATACATTAACAGAAAAACTGTTTTGTTATTGCTTGGATCCAAATGTCTGACATTTTCAGCCATAATCGTTCAAGATATGTTTTGTCTTTTCGACAAGCTTCTTTTCAGTTATCCGACAAGCAACACCTGAAATTTCTTTTCTTTTTCCGACGGAAAGTAACTCTTTTATTCAGGAAAGAAGCTTGGTTCATTATTTCGTTTCAAAAAGGATTCACATGTGGTAAATTTGTTCATGCTGTGAATGTTGGCATTGTCCTTCTTTGTAACTATCTGGCCTTGTTTACTTCATAAAATATAACTTCAATGAAACAAATAACTCAACAAGTCTCCAAGAACTCTAGTTTTCGTTTGGCCGTATTATTGCCTTTGTAGGCGAGTTCCAGCTTAAATTAACTCCGCGACAAATTCTATAGGTCTCAGTGTAATCAAAAACAAAGAAACGTGGCTTTTTTTGCCAGTTATACAAAAACTGAAATAACACCTGAAATAGAGCTTACTGAGCTTAACGTCTGCTCTAATTAATGTTTTCTCGTATCATGATTCATATTTCATGTGAGGAGCGTCGAAACACAATAATCTGCAATTAAACCAATATAAATATACTTTAAGAATACAGGAGGTGTTAAAATACTGAAATGAAAAGAAATCGGAAACTATGTTTTTACGATTCCAGTGTAGGCCTCTCTTCATGGAAAGATTTTAATCTAATATTTGATAACTTCTTCACCAAAGATTTTTTATTAAATTTTTTTAAGTTTAAAACCGAAATAGATTTCTTAGATCAAACACATGCAGCTGTGATAGGACTTTTTTTTTTTTAATCCTGACATCTCTTTTTTTGTGTGAAATGTTTTCGCGTGGAAAATAAATTTTGTCCCAACAAGAAATGATTACGCTAAATGAAATTTATTGCCCGATTAGGCCCCTTCCACACGTATCTGGAGCTTTTTGAAAACGGGCATTTTTTCCTCCGTTTCCGAAGAAATGCGAGTCCACACGTGGCGTATTCGCAGTCGTTTTCGCCCGTCCACACGAAAACGCTGAAACGATGGAAATTTCTATAGAATCCCTCACAGAGCATGCGTAACCTCCGTTTTTGTCTGTCCATTCGTAAACGAAAAGCTGCCGGTTTTAATTAGTATCCATTCTGGAGTGCGTTTTTGGCGATCGTTTTTACCGGATCCTGTGCTCAAATACCCACGGCATCGTCCCAATATTGTCGCGACATCTGACTGGAACTGAAGTTGTGTTGATTACCACCCCTAGCTGTCAATATCATTCTGTTTATTCTCAAGTGTTGAGAATCACTCTGTCGGCATGGTCTCAACATCCTCTCGACAGGTTTTTTGTGAATGTTGGCAGAATATTGTGACTGTTTGATTGTATCTTTTAGTAGTTGGGACTGTTTAGTTCCCGAAAGGATAGTGAGGTGCTAATAGCATTTGCCAGTCCAAATCTTTTCCAAATCTCACTTCCCAGGGTCAAAGCCCCCCTTCCAAAAGCAAAGCGGCCTGAGACGTATTAGACATTAGTGAACTTACGCAACAGGACGGGAGAGGAAAGAAGACGGCAAACCTTGTGTGACAAGCGTGACAATAATTTTATTTGAAACAACTTTTTGCCAAACTTCACTTTCCTTTAAACAGATCTTTTTGTAATGGACCAGAAAACCTCGGTGTTAAGTGAAGATCACGACAAAACCCACAGGTAATAGCCTTGTCACGTTTGTCACACACAGCTGTTTTGCCGTCCTCTTCTTCCTGCTGTCCTGTTGCGTAAACTCACTATTAACGCGAGGACAGCTCACACAACGCCGGAATGTAAATGCTTCGAGCACATTACCCCTCTCAATCACAAAAGGGCCGCAGGAACCTTTATCGTCAATCACTCGTTCTCATGTGTTGGGCAACATGTTTATTGAGTGAGATTCGACAACAATTTACACTGAGTAGTGAATGACATGGGACGGGAGGGCTGGGTAACGTACTTGCCCTTCGAATCGAGCTTATGACTGACCAACATGCAGCGAGCCCTCAGATAAGCTTTGCATGACGTCACATATGATCGACGCGTAACTAACCACACCGAAACAAAAGCGATTTCTTAGTGAAAGGTGAAGTAACATGTTTATAAAATGTTGGTTTCAAATCAAAGTGCACACTCCGTACTCACTCAGACTGTCTTCTATCGGCATTTTCCTGGTGTTGCGGACAGGTGCACTCACCAGTTGACGTATACAAAAGACTGAAAGGACACTGCGGGGCCCGGCTGCGGGGTCACTGAACAATACCCGTCACCCCCCCCCCCCCACGAAATCACAAAAGTGAACCAACAATGGTTTCCGCAATACCAAGAAACACTCCTTTTAACTTACAATTGACTTGTTTCATTCTTAGGCGTGCTGTTCAGTAAAGCCACCCACTACCTCCCCTTGAACTTTACTAGAGAGGATAAGACAAAATTAGTTGACATGCGGGGCAACGCAACCGGAATGGTCTTCAATACGATCAATGCATCGACCGCTGAACAAATAGGACAAGTATTGAGACTTAACGGAATAGATAACTATATTGAATTGAATAACCTGAAAGATGAATGCATTACTAATCCAAGCAAATGTACAGAGGGATTGTCAGTGGCATTCTGGATAAAATATACTGAAGGTAAGTAAAAGTGTTAAAGATACTATAGCAATGTCGGGTCCTAGCAGGAGAGAAGTTTCGCCGGTGCGAGAGCGCATCCTCGAAAAGAATATTATCGTGGGTGTAGTGATTGGGTGACTTTATCCGTCCTTGCTAAAGATCTTCTTCTCCAGAAAAAAAATATCCGGCGTTGTTATAAGTAAGTGATGGTTTCAAGGGCCACCTTTTGACACATCCTAGCTCTTCAGCCCTTACATCTCGAATGGAATGAAATGGTTGATTTAACTCTCCCCTTCAGAATTGGACTAAGACGTTCAAACTTGCAGTCCGCCTTTTAGTCTCTTAAAATCCGTCCAGTTCTTATCTCATCCAGCGCGATTGCAAACCACGATGTTATTATTTAGGGATTGAGACGAGACGTTTTTACGCCCTCGTTTCTCGCGACAAGCGGCCTCGCCGCTCGCGTGCTTAGGTTTCGCGTGCAGTAACTTTGCAAAGAAAAATAAGAGACTGCTCGCAGTCTAAAATTACCCAGCCTCGAAAACAAACCGCAGACTGGATAGCCTGAGTATCAGGCGTTTCTGGGGAAAAGGGGAAAGATGGAAGCGAAAACGGGAAAGAGCTGAAGGAGAGAAACTTTCCCTTTCTCTTTTCCCCCCCCCCTCCCCCCTCCCCCATCTAAAATCTCCTCTCCCCTACCCCCTTAGGAAGGCCTGATACTCAGGCTACAGACTGGATTTCCGCCACTCTCTTGGGTCCGGTCTTGTTTCCCAGGGGAACAAACAAACTAGAGCTCTGATCTTACTAACAGTTCATTTATTCCTTTTGTTAGGCAAGTTCATTATTTCTGCTGGTAGGTACACGGATGTAGCTGATGACGGCCCTGGGTTTAGGTTTATCTGTTCAAACTGCAGCAGGAACAGTGGTGTCCCAAAAACGCACAACTCAGGAATCTTTCTTCTAGAGCTCTCAACAACGACGAAAAAGTGGCGAATTCATCTCGACTCTATACCGCTTTGGTGGTTTCATTTTGCCTTCACGTGGAGCCCAAACCAAGGGCTCAAATACTACAAAAACGGCAAGTTTGTCCTGGGAAAGAAAAACCCCGAAATGTTTATGGTTGCTACTGACACAAACATTGCCAAAATGATCACTATTGGTCTTCCGAATTCACTAAAGGCTATGTCAAGAAAAAACAGTCGTGGCAAGTTCAGCTTGGGACATCTGGTTATTTGGACTTACGAAGTGTCAAAATATGATATGGAGATCGCATTCAGATCTGTGCTAACAACAGGAATCAAGTCGTTGCTCTGCTGCCAACAATTAAAAGGTGATGATAATAATAATTAGTTATAATTACACATTATGGTCGGCAAAATGCAATACAATTATTAATTTAACGATCAGTTTCTTGTCTTAGGCGAAAAATGACCTTGAAAGGACGTGCAAGGGGGAAAATGGCAGTCTATATTCTCGATTTCTTCTCTGTAAGAAAGAGGTACAGAAGTCCGCTTTCGTCAAAAGCAAAGATAACGATGTTGTTGCCGATTGGCAAATGAGTAAAACTGCTAGGATCGGACGCTGAGTAAAGCGTAAAATAAAATAAGCTAGGAGTTCATTTAGAATCTTTCTTCCGGTTTGCCAATTTCAGTTACAATCTCAAGCATAAGTAACTGTAAGTAAGGTAAGCCAGTTCTATTGAGTCATTGTAATACCAGAATTCACTTCGTTTTTGCTTTGTTACTTAAATTGTCAATACCACCGAGGTTTAAAAAACAAAAGCCCTAATTTACACTCCTTTGCAAGAAAACAACAAAATGAAGGATTTTGGTAATTAGATAAGATAAGGTAAGATAAAGAAAACAAAACTGAATGCACAGGGTCCAGAGGAGTTTCGTGTGAATAAATGAATTATTTACCTTGAAAAATGTCTATACCTGTCGCTTAGCACGATTAATTAGCCCAATGGGATTTTTATAAATCTACCGTAAACGATTTCTTCGCTTCTTATCTGACCTAGCCTGCGAAGCGCAGACGCATTTCCGGTCGTCGCTTCTCTCCCTCCGAAAAATAGCTATTTTTTCGACCGGAAATGCGTCTGCGCTTCGCAGGCTATATCTGACCCAGATCGACTTTTGAAAATCAATAACCGCAAGCCATATCCTCGCTGGCGCACGGCACGTTGCCCGAAGGGTGACCGAAGGCCCGTCGCCCGGAGGGCGACCGAGGCACGAAGTGCCGAGTAAAAGAAAGGACAAGGGAGGAAACTTGTACCACGTGACTTCGTTCTATGTGAACCGCAGCACTCGGTGACGGAAGTCAGAATGAGACCGGAAACGCAAAAGCAACAGACCACTGCTAATTCGAGAATCAAAACATCAGCTGCGGAGAGAGTTTTAAAGATCTCAGAGATCTATGCGAAAACAACAGAGTTTTAATTGAAGTGAAGATCTTTCAAGACTGGACATTTGTTGTACGTTTCAACAGTCTTCGATGTCTTAAGCAGGTTTTGCTTGTGCGAAGGCTTCCCAGTAGTCGCAAAACGCACAGCCAACCCATGCAGGCGTTTTTAGGGGAGCTCGTTTTTGTGGGGAGGGATGGAAAACCGTGAGCTCCCCTATAAACGCCTGCGTGGGAGGTTACTGGCACTACGGCAAAGGGCTGATTTGTTATAGGCCAATAGAAGATAAAGACCTCATTTAAAGAGGGTGTAACACTTAATGGCTATAGCTAATAAACTTGTGGCCTTCTAAAATACTGAGAAATTAATTAATAGATAATACTAAACTGTATAGAGTGATTTTACTTGAACCGCGAGACAGCTACTAACAAATAGTAAAAAATAGCAAGAGGTAAACAAAAGAAGACAATGGAATTAGTGCGTAATAGTGCGTAGTATTCTACTACCTATTTCACGGGTCAAGTAAAATCACTCTAAAATACACGATATAACGACATAATTTAAATAGATAATACTAAGCTATAAGAAAATACAAGTAAATGACGTCGTCATTCAATTGTGCTTTTATTCAGACGACCCGTGCGTCCGTAATCCGTGTCATGACGGTGCCACGTGTCACCAGATGGACACGGGAGACAAATACCAATGCATCTGCCCAGACATACTCGACCATAACGGACGCTGTTCCGGAGGTAAGCTTAAAATGTTCTTACGTGTACCATCATACATTAGCTTATGTAACAATACCTGAACAATGTTTACGGGGACAATCTCCGACGTTTTGTATAAAGAATGGCTAAGAATTCATATCCGTTACCACAGAAAAATACTGAACATACATATGATAAATATCTCTCTAATCTAACACTGACATTAGAAAGAATCTTTGATTTATACCTTTTCTTCCTGGGTATATGGTCTCTCCATCTAATGAAACTCGATTATCAGTACAATAGTATCTGTTATTAGAATCCCAGAATTGAAGAATTCACTCCTCCCTGTCCCATTCTGTCAATGTATAAGCCTGTTGTTAGAGCATTTTGATGACAAATAAATTTTGACATTTTTGTATTTAACTGGTGCTTTTGGAAAGAAAGATCTTTGTTGATTATATATATATGTAAAAAACTTGTATCCGCAATAAAAGTGAAAGTTCAAGCACAATATTTTGATTGTTACCTAACTTAGTGTTTCTGAACTTGGTTTGATTATAGCGGAAAAGTTTGCGGAACATTGTGAAGACAAGTCGGATCAGTGTGAGAAGTTAGCGAGTCAAGAAGGTTTTTGTGATTACCGCTGGAGGCGTATGAAAAAAATTTGTCCAAAGGCCTGCAAACTTTGCGGTAAGTGATATACTTAATATTCCGGCTAATTTACAAGCACTGCTGAGGCACCTCTGTCAGGATAACACTAATACCTTCTCTTACTTTTGTTACCTCTACTATATTTCTGCTTCTTTGCTACTACTACTCCTACTCCTACTCCTACTCCTCGAGTCGCATGTCTCATGGTAAATATGATGTTGAATTGCTTATTGTGAAAAAACTCTTGGTTTTCATTGCGACCTAAGCAACGACGCAAACCTAACTAGATTCTAATTAGAAAACCAGGTAAACATTATTGAAAATTTTGAGAGACGTTCTCTCTGGCTTGATAGGGAGACGTTTGAAAAAGTAACAAATAAATATCTACCGAAAAAGCCGTCTGCACCGCAATATCGGGATTTATCAAAGGTGAAGTGCTTTCCTTAAGTCCATAGGAGAGACATACGAAACAGCTGAGAATATCAGCGCGAGTAGAGACACTAATTACGCTTGCAATATGTGTCAGTGAAGTGAACAATTGCTGGGTAACACATTCTCAATCCGAGGACTGTGGGCTATAACTTTGCCATTTGTTTTCTCAGGTCTGTATTTCATATTCGTATCAGCTATCAGAATACTAATAAGCTTTTCCCTCTGAGAGGGTTGTGAAGGGGGGTACCAAATCCCAGTTCCCAGCCCAAATTTGGCCCAAATCCCAGTTCCCAGGCTAATTTTTGCCAAAATCCCAGTTACCAAATTTTCGGTGTGTATAACGGCGTTATTTGCATTGACATACTTGATTTCTAGTACCATTTTGCGAGAAACCTTTTTCGAAGCCATTTTTATCTTCCCTTCACAACATCTTCCCGCCATATGCAAACTTGCAGAACTTGTCCGCTGACCAGGAAAACTGACAGAACGTAACTATGCAACCGTGTAAGCCTGGTAGCTAGACCGCGGGCGCGAAGGCAAAAAATACTGATTTCACGGTCTCTACTGAGGAGTGCAAGGTCTATTGCTACGAAATTTTATTTTTCTATTTCAAAATATTGGAGCAAAGACCGCTGAAGAAAAGAAATCCCATTCCCATTTTATAATTGTTCATCCCATTCCCAGTGGCTAAATCCCAGTCCCAGTGAGTAAATCCCATTTTCCCAGTCCACAATAAGGCTAATCCCAGTTCCCATTTTACCCCTTCACGACCCTCCTCTGAACATGTTCCAACACATTTCATTTCCATTTCCTTTAGAAAGTGGTAAAATAAGATACCAAAGCAATGAAGCGTTTGAAAGTTTTTATTTTAATTTATTTTTTTCTTTTTCATAATGGCTACCTATTGTTTGTTTCGTTTTAAGTAATTGCGTGCCTTCATTATCGCCTCCATATCAAGCCAGGGACGGCGTTATTCACCTCACTCCCCTAAAATTGTTTTGTCACAAATATAATCTGTTTACATACATCACGCTCATACGTCGGCATACATTCCTCTTTTTTTCTATTTTTTATTAAACAATTTTAGTCATGATTTTTGTTTTGTTTTATCCTTGTTTTACATTTGTTTGCACTTATGCCGTTCGTACCATTGTGATCAACCATAAATCATTTTCCTCACTATATTTATAAGCTCTGTTGCTTTAGTTTTTGGTTGTCCTGCCTGATCCTTTTGGCTTAAAAACGCTTTAGTAGTGATTTGATCATTTTGAAATAATCCATTAACATTTCCGTCTTTTATGATGAGTCTGTAGCCCTTAGTTAGGCACCTTCTTTGTGATGGCGTTTTTTCACTTCACCACTGCGCGCCTGCGTACTTTGGCCTGTGTTTATTCCAATATCCTCATGTGCACCTGCAACTCAGCTTTTCTCAGCTTCCTTCTTCCTTCTTTTTTTATTCTCATTGCACTTTTCCCCTTTATCAGTAAGCTACCCTTACGGTCGTTACTGATTTATTTCGGGTACACTACAGAATGAACGTGATCTGCACTTTATGTGTGTGGTCATTTTCTTCTGCTTGCTCGTCTGGTTGCTTTTTGACTTCTGACATCGCTTTCATCTTCCAACTTTGTGCCCTTGTTTTCAAGTTTGTCCAAATTCTTCGCACCTTTTTCTCTCAGCTATCAGCAGTTTTCCAATATCTCTTTAGTATCGACGGCGTCTCAGTTTGCCAATACTGAACTCGGCTTTTTCCGTCCGGCTTAGTGTAAGTGAAGAGAAAAGATGGAATGATCATGTTGAGACACTTCTGAGCGAGAACAAAAGTCTTGGGGTTGATCGACTGATAAGTTGGACTGTGTTTTTTTTTTTTCAATTCTACGGATCCTTTTCAGTCGCTGAAAAACCGAGCAAAAGTTGAAAATAGCCTTCGCCCATCTTGGAGTTTTATTTCCACTTGGAGAAATCACTGACGTCATTACTAACTCACGTTTTTGTTACATCTAGTGAGTTCTTCGTGCGCTAAGCGGATTGTGATAGATATAATAGTGAATTTAAAAGTTGTTTGTTATAAATGATGATAGTCCGAATGTGCAGAAACTTTACTTTGTCAGCAAGAGGTTGCCGTACAATTCTCAAGGAAAGCTAACGAACAGTGTTTCAATTTGCCGAAATCAACTTACTTTTAGATAACAAAAAAATTAGCTACACTGAAATTCAATTACACATCAAGAGTCCTTCTTGACTTATTAACCTCCAGTTATTATCCATTTATGACAAATTTATTTTGGTGTTCTAATCTTGTAATCTTTTCTATTAGAGTCAAGCCACATTAAATTAACGCTGATAAAATGAGTCAATTAGATTTTTCTATTACGCTTAAATTTTGCATTGGCTTGATTGAAGAGGCTTCAAATTTTTCAAAAAGCGACAGTGGTTTTGACAAGGCGTTCTCGTATTTTGAGTCATTTTACTTTGCATGAAATAATTTTCTTCTTTTCTTAATTTGACACAAGCATCCTCCTACTCTGAAGATTATTTAACATTAATTTGTGAATATTGAAATCTATAAAAAGACTTAATTTCCTCAATGCCTTGACAGATTTAATTTTAAAATTAAACAAAATTTGTGAAAAAATCTACTTAAATATTGGTTTTCTTCAATGTACTGGTTTTCGTTAATCGTTTTTTGTTTTGCTTTTAAAAAGTTGATTGTTATGTTTCCTCTTAACTCTTTTCTTTCTTTTTTTCCCTTTGAACGTCGAATTTTGTTATGACTAAATCAAAAGTTTTATACAAAAGACACTGTTACTGCCTTACTGTCTGTTATTCTTTGCGGAATGGTTAAGTTTTCAAGTGTGATATCGAAAACCCATACAGTCAGTTGTTATTCCATTTAAGATTTTAAAATAAGTTTAAAGATTCATTGTGGCAGTTTGTTTACCGCTGAAGTCACTTTTCTAAACAGTTGCGACCGTTCATGTCAAGGTTGTTTAATGCTATTATAATACTTATTCCTTATTTTAATGAATTTCCGACAATTTGCAAACGTTGCTTTTGACGCAAAGAAGGTAAAGGGAAAACAGAGCAACATTTGTATCTGTATCTTCCTACTTAGTTCCAGGCTGCCATCCGTTGTTCGGCTGTTCACTTCTCGCAGCTTCTCGCTTCCCTAAAAAAAAGTCATTTTCAAACCATGTATTTTATAGCAGAGGAATAACCAACTGCATAATTTTCTTTCAGCCCTGGTGCTTCGATGAATTTTTTGGAAAATGTTGGATAATATTAACTAGATAAGAAGCACTTCCCTAAATGACTAAACTAAAGAGCGTAGGCACAAACTGAGTCGTAAAAACACGGGACAATATGATTAATAGTAGGCCGGAAAGATATTTGGGTGCCATTAATTTAACTTGTCGCAGTTAAGGATTTCACCCACACATCCAAACAAGGCTAAATAACTTTCTATACAACCGATGATAGAAAAAAGAAACCCTCAACAGCAATCGCGGTGGTCACACTTTAGCAACCCGTAAAGAAAGAACCTTCATTCACATCATGATAAACACCAGAATAAATCGATCATCAATAACTTACATCAATATAATTGCTACATTTACTTGGAATATTAGTGACGGATGTAAATTTCGAGACCTTCGCATAATATTCTGATTCTTGCTGTGTAAAAAAAAAGGAGAATGTCTGATATTCTTAGTTCATCTTGCAGATAATTATAAAACAGAAAAATGAAAGATGTTTTAGGAGGGAAAATTGAAAGTGTTGAATAATTTGTCGTGTAAATGTATTCACAGTTCTCTTGATTTCTTAATTTGCACTGCGCGCTGGGGGGAAAAATTGGTTTCATGCAGTTAGTTTCCTTTTAATATTCAATAGACATTTGCGCCGTTTACATCTACCAATACGCCGACAATGGCTTGAGACGGAAAAAAATGTGCTGATATTGAAGAAATTGGTTTTAATTGGGGCGAAAAGGGACAAAACTATGAAGATGTATTTTAAAAAGGATTTAAATGAGGAGAGAATCAAACAAAATTGACTTTCCCCCGTGTTATCTTGAAAACGAATTTCCTATTAGAATTTTCGTATTTGTTACTTTTCAAAATACCTTTTATTCCTGCAGTGCATGAAACTGGTCCGCGCATTTAAGATAACAAGCCACTCTTTGCACTTCGACAGAAAATGCGAAAAACAAAGTAAAGAAAAAAACCTGAATATTTAATAAAACGAGTAATCATTACTTTTTGAACATTAAATATTCGCCTGTATATTTGCACTATATTCAATATGAGCGGTTTTCTTGTTTGGCAGAATAATTCTTTTATCTTTGTAGCAATCGCCATTAAGGTTGTTATTGGAGGTAAAAAGAGAAGTGGAATTGTAATTCACAAAGCCACCAGTCAAAATATGAAAGTTACTGCGAATTTAAAACCGAATCGCAATCAAGGAAATGCAATGTCGCTGTACGACGCCACTTTATTGGGCCTGCAATCATTGCCACCTGTTCAAAGAAGCTGTGTCAATCAGAAAATGTTTACTTTTGAGTCTGTGTGAACAAGCTACCAGCGGATATTTTATTGGTAGTTTTCTTGCGCTGGGACGAACGCATTGTTGTCATCATCGCCAGGAAAAAGTGCAAGTTATATGGCACCGTGGAGTATGTAAAGTGACTTGGGACAAATTCGTCATAAACAATAGCTTTGACTGATTCTCAAAATCGGTCGGCGTATTTTTCGAGTATGCTACTCTCGAAAATTGAATTTCACTCCGACTTTTAAGCGTGAGAAATTGCACGAATGTATCATCTGTGTTCTCTCTATTTTCTCGCTCTGTTGAATATCTCGATTTGTGAATCTTTCAGCTTATATTCTTCAAGTAATTCTTCCTCAGTTATTTCACCACTCCGGGCTACATTACTGACGTACACGCCACCTCTCAGTGGCGCAACTTACGGACAAAATCTTCGTCCTTCACATGAGCAGTTTTTACAGAACTTTTCATTGGAAACGACCCCCAATTCTGTTAACGATGAATTTCTTTCTAAATTTGGTGTATATACAGGAAAGGAACAGACGCCCGTAAGCAAAACAGATTTGTTAGTCTCCTCAAGCCGTAAAGTGGAAGCTCAATTCGCCCACGAAACACAAAGAAGTCGGCACTCGGTTGGGAAGACACTTCAAAATGAAAACCGCGGGGCTGGAAGTACAAATAGAAGTGGATTGACGAGACATATGCCAAACAAAATGATTAAAACAGGCTCTGTACAACTCAACACAATAATAGCGCAAGAATTTCTTAGTACATTCCCTCGAAGCGGATCGATGAGCACTCGGGAAAGGTTTCAAAATGACAGGTTTTCCGCGGGTTCTTTGGTCCAACCTAACATGGCCATGTCAACGACGAACAGCTTTATCAGTTTGTCGCCTTCATCCATGGTACCCAAAAGATACGCGAGTACTACAAGAACGCGCCATTTTTCAGTTTTGTCTTCTCATGAAAAATTTACTGAGTCCTCATTGCTTTTATCAAATAATTTACTAAGTACTCATAATCTATCGCCTGGGGCGGAAAGCAGTAAATCATCATCCTTGTTGTCGCATTATTCTTCAGGTGTTTCATCCGCGCAAGCACGACAAGTGTCCACCAGTCAGCCCACTACCCATGTCTCATCAATTGTTACAAGTTCTGCCATTAATCAAGTCACATCATCTTTTATCAGTCTAGCCACCAATCGGATTTCACCATTGCAACCAAGCTCCATCATATCTAGAACACAGACAACACAATCATTCTCAAGTAGTTTGATTGTTAAATCCAGCGTAAAATCAGCCTGGTCAAAAACATATCTTCACCTCACCAAAGCAATTACCTCAAGCTATTTAATCCACACCGCTTCCGTACAGCCGTTATTGTCGTCTGTGGTTCCTACGCACGAGGAAACGTCTTTAACTTGCAGAGTAAACAACACGATGTGTCTTTGCTTTAACTGTGACGAAGCGCCTAAAAGTGCAAAGATATGTTGCATGGATCTCATTGAGAATAAAATTACCCAGCAGGGAATAAAAATGACAGTCAAAAATATTAGTGTTCAGGAGTTTTATCATATAATCACGACTGTTTCTAGGGTTATTGCAGATATTGTTTGGAATTCTTGTCGCACAAATGTTAGTCTTTGCCTTACGGGGGAATCCTCACCTGGTGCTGCAAGTGTTCGTAGGAGGCGTTCACTACGTGAACAAAACATTCAAAGCAAAACAACATCAGATAGAATAAGAACCAAAAGGGAAGCACTTCAGCCTACTATTAGCCCTTCTTCGCCGAATATTTTCAGCGTTGAGGCAATATTTTACAGTCTTTCCCTCCAGGTCGGTACTTCGCCTGGGGTGCAAACGGCTTTTTACGTGATAATGAAGTTATATAGTAATGGAACCAATCAAACTATATTGTTGGATGGCAAAAAGCTGTTGAAGATTCTCACCAATGAGACCCACACTCTTGAAAGTAAATTAAATATATCAATTGAATCATTCACAGCGACGCATCAGTCATCTAAGCTTGCTACCACAAGTTCACTTCCCGCTACTCTATCGCCTAATTCGTCTCAGGGAAGCCAGAATATACAGATGACGACCTTGTTTACCGGTGAAGGTAGGCATTTTGTAATCAGACGCACTAAGTACCTATACAGTAGACTCCGGCTACCTTTCCATATCTGCTTTAGAATACTCCATTTTCCGCTTTGAATGACACTGCTATCCAGTGAATTTTGCTACGCAGCACTTTCTTCAGACCCTGTCGACGACACTGCAGTAAAGAAGCTTAGCACTGCCTTTTTGAAATTGTTTTTTTTTTTCTTAACTGCTTGTCTTTACACTGTTGTAAACTTGTTACCTCAGATACAAAAGCGCCGCGGTTTTTGTGTCTCAGACTCCCGCCTTCTTGAACAATTTTCTCCTTCCATTCTTAAGTGTTCCAGATAGTGGGAGTCTACTGTATAAACTCAGTTGTCCCTACTGGCCTTTTGCCTCTTATTCTCATTTTTGTTCATGCTTGGCCTCCACCTCTCTCGCACATGTTGAGCCCATTTTTGTACGTGACTTTTTACTGACGTTATTCGCCACCATTCCTGATTTCTTCGTCTTCCTTATTATTATTTATATTTCCTAATAATACAGGAATCAGTCACTAATGTAATTGTTCAATCAAACAATTAGAAAATCAGTTGAGGAGGGTTCAGTATCTGCCCTCGCGGAGAACGAGTACGGGACGGGAAAACGATTGATAGGAACAAGACCCAATTTCAACCCTAGCCGGCCCTATTAGTAACTTCATTTCCAATTCTCTACTTTGTTCCCGTTTTTTTATTTTCCCATTTCTTATGCTCGTTCCTTTCTCCCCGTTCCCCGTTTTAGTAACTTGGGGTAATGATTACTTGTCCCTCCGATCCAGTAAGCTATGTCTTACAGAGTACGTGCGCCCAGAAATGCACGCAGCGACGAAATTTAACACAATTTGTACGGCCGTGCTTTATAAAAAAATCTCGAATACTCTGAACAAGCTCCAGGCTCCAGAAGAATAAGGGGAAACAGGAAAAACTCACATTTCGAAATTTCCAAGTTTTGGAACAACTTTGTGAGGTACCGATGGATAATAATACTAAGTGCATCATACATTTGGCAAATTTTGCATTTCCTTAATTCTAGAAGAGTTGTCGCAGTTAATCATAAATTACCAGTTTAAAATTTAAAATTCTTTCCATCGTGCCTTTCTAGACAACATTTAAGGTACTCATTGTTGCATTGTTGCCTTAGCAATAAACTCTTTAGTATAGAGTACTAAAGTGATGACGTCATAAAAAAGAAATTTCTGAAACTATGGGATTTGTCAGGATATTCTGAAAGATCAATCTCCAAGAGGCCTACTTAACAAAAATGAGCATTTCGAGGCAAATTGTCTCTGAGATGTTGGCCGGTTATACTCAGAAAACTCCATACAAACCCTTCTAAATTGTTTTTGGGTCGACCCAAGAACAATTTAGAAGGGTTTGTATGGAGTTTTCTAAGCATAACTGGGCTACGATCTCAGAGACAATTTGCACCGAAATGCTCATTTTTGGCAAGTAGGCCTCTTGGAGATTTTTCTTTCAGAATATCCTGAAAAATCCCATAATTTCAGAAATTTCATTTTCATGACGTCACACTTTAGTACTCTATTGGAAATGAAGATAAATTTTAATATGCAACAACTTCATTCGTTCACATTTTAAGCTTGTAGTACTTGATAGCCATATAGTTTGCTTGACTAATCTTTCTTATGTTGTATTTTATATATTTTTTTTCTCTCTTACAGCACCGACTTCTCCTCCTGTGCAAGGCAAATTGGAGGATGAGGACGGTAAAGGACTATCTCAGGAATTACTCATCCTCATGATATGCGCGGGAATTGGTGGATTTATTCTAATTAGCATTGTAATGGCTTGTGTCTTTACGCGTTTCTACAGGTGGGAATGAAATTAAGTTATAGTCCTGTGTAGGAGAAATTTATCCGTTTGTACACTGATTCGTTCGTCATTGCATCACTCATGTGTCAAAACTATGGCACAGATCGTCTCATTAAGTGTACCTAGTGTGCCTGCAGGCGTGGAAGGGAAGGAGGAGGGAGTGGGAGGAAAAAGAGAGGGGACGTATTACGCAGGGTACTACTCCTTTTAAAATGCCGTTTCTTCAGACCTAAGAGTAATAGTTAATATAACACATAACTATTTGCTTCTCGAAGAACATAACTGTCATGTATTACATGAGGTAGTGAGCGCGATACATTTCTTTAGACGTACACTGCCTCTTAGTAAAGAGAACACATGGTTGACCAACTAAAATTCATCAGTAGTAGTTTCATGACTAGTAATCCTCTAAATTGTGTACTAAGTGGATTAGACAATCACACCGCACAGTGAATTTGTGGTGTCCGAGCTTTTATCTTTATTTTTGCCTTCCCTTACTACTTTTGAAGGAAACCACTAAATGGACTAACGTCCCGTTCACGGTATGTTTCATGGGAAATTGACAATATCCCTTGCTGCTTTATGAAAGAGAAACCGGGAAAAGCTGCGGCGCGTGAGCCCGATGGCTCGAAGTGCGCCTCTATCTTTTTTATACCAACAGATATGTGTCTGATACAAACCTGTCGACACTTTTTTCTTTACTTAGACAAAGGAAGGGTGAGTTTGTTCCAGATAAAACCTATCCTAGTCCTCCCAACAACAAACACAATGGCGATGCAGTTGTGGAAGATTTAGAAAACATAGATACGTTCATAGATCCGTCAACGCAGATCACTGATGTCCCTCACAAACCAACAAGAGGATCAGCTGGAGGCAGTTCGGCGGGCGGTCCAAAAAAGCAGAGAAAACCCATGGGAGTCAAAGTTACTTACAAACCACCGGAATGGGACTAAATATATAACAAAGGATACCCGTGCAATAGGTATATTGTTTCCATATTTGAGCGCTATCTTCCGACAAAAAGGTTGAATGTACCCTTTATGCCATTCAGTGTTTTGCACGGCTGTTTCTTCTAAAACGTTCGTGCTTGTTTATATCCTTCTTATCATGAAAAGTACACAAAAATCAAAGGAACTGTTTTTATAAAATTAAGTAAAAGGGACGTTTTCCCGATAGAAGTGTCTCATAGCATCCTTTACATTGGAGCTGAGCCTATCCCAGATAACTGCCCTCGGAAAGTTGTTAATCCGGCTATACTATAACCCAAGGATAAATTCTCGAAGGTCTCTCCTTTTCAACTATTACAAAGTTCAATTGCCTCATGCAGCAGGATGTGGTAACTTGACAATTGCTAAATTGTCAACGATGCTCGTGACGTTGAATTTTAGGTTTTCCTTCAACCAAGCCAAACTTGTGATGCAGGTACCCTAGATTTAGTTTTGCCCACGAAGCGGTTATGGGGCCTCTAAGCATTCTAACAACAGTCACTAACTAAGGTAAAAAAATAACTTATTTGTATTACTTAATTCTTCTTTTCATTTTCGTCTTGTTTTGTTTTTTTTTCTTGTCTGTCTTTTTTGTAGAAAGGACCTCCGTAATACTTGCGAAGAACACGTGGAAAAGAAAAACCGTATTTTGTATAATGTGGTCAAACGAACATTTCACAAACAGACAGCGACATAAAAAAAAAAACAGAATTATCATCAATTTACATTTGGGACTCAACAGGAAAAACACATTCAACGCTGTGCGGAATCAGCGCCAAACACAGTTACCATGACAACTTTATAAGGAAGGACAATTTTGGAAGGATTTTAATTCAATGCTGAGTATTGGGGACAATTTGGTTTTAAAGACGAAATCCGGAAACTGTTTAAAAGAAGCATGAATAACCATAGAAATGTACCAATTTGAATACAGGCTGACCTTTTAGAGTTAAGGCAGAATTTGCTGTCTAAACAATAGATCAAAATTGTGTTGGTTTACCCTGACCGCGATGAACACATGAAGGCTTGAGTGCAGCGAGGCAAAGAAGTTCCACTGTTCTCTTTTGAAATATGCCTAGTGTGTTTCTTACAAGGGTACGCTAAAGAATTTCGATATCGATTGCTTTTATGAAACAACTTTTATTTAAAAAACAATTTCCTAAGTTTTCTATGAGTTTACTGGTATATTATAATATAATAAGCCATAGGTTTTTTGACCAATCTGAACACACCTATCTAAGTTATTTTGTTAACTGGAGTTCGCTGCTTGGTAAAGCCCTTATGAGTGGCCCATAACACCGGTAGCGCTTTGAATATTGCATAAAATTTAAGAGGAAGCAATTGCAAATGCTAGACATCATAAAAGAGTCGGCTATTTAGATAGATAGCTAAAAAGAATAGATCGATACAAAACGCAAAATACAATGGATACTGATGACATGCACTCCTGATGCCCGTTTCTCAAAAGTCCCAGTAACTTTTCCCGCCCAAAATCGAATATCCGATTCAAAAGCGCAGGTCTTAGCAAACAAACCAGTTCATTAAGAAACGGGCCCCAGGAGGGCTTCTGAACTAGTGCCTAATTGGTGAAGTGAATTGGAAAATATTTAATAAAAATAATTAGCTGGCCTTCATAAACTGGCGTCTGATATAGTTCTCTTAGGCACATTTACTGTGAAGTAAAGTGACGACCTATAACGCGCTATATAAGTAATTTATTTTATTTTCAAATCATTTTATACTTTCAAAGGGTTTTAAAAAGACGGCCTTACTTATCTGATTTAAGTGTCCACAAAGTATTGTGGTTGTAAGTTTTGAAATTCGAGGGTCGCAAACTTTGAGCAAACCTGTGTCTAGCTTCAGGCTTAGTTAATGATAAAAAGATGATTTATTTAAGATGTTAAATTTTCTATTAAAAAGGCCTGGGCGAGTCCTACCCGTTAAACATGTCTATCCCAACGCTTCCCCTCCAATAACGGTTAAACAGGTTTTTCCTGCGCAGGGAAGATGTGCAAATTGTAACGCCGTCAACTAGTTTAAAAAGGAAGACACCCTGAGCTCGCCCGGGTTGCTCGAAGCATGGTTAGTGCTAACCAGCGTTAAATGCCATGGAAACCTATACATTTTGATACCTCTTAACCAACGGTTAGCGCTAACCAGGCTTCGAGCAATCGGCCTCTCAGATTGACATCTAGAATGTAATATGTGTTTAAGCTTGAACAACTCAATATCGTTAAAGGAGATAACTAATATTATGGGTAGTTGATGATATCTGGGACATTACTGCGCACCATAATTTAGGGATGATTTTCCTTTAAAGGTGTCATTGACCAGCAGATATCATGATAAATTAATGAAATGATGTAATGAAGCAAAAATAGTGAATTTATGACCGTGCATCAGTCTGACCGTGCATTAAGTGACCCTGCTAAATCCGCCTAATGACAGTGTCGTCTTTCGTTTCTAATAAAATATGGCTACTTAATGTTTTTGACGTTTTAAATTTGAAATAAAAGCCTGGTTCTATGAAAGAAATATCAAGAAGAGTTGAAATAATTAAAATAATTTAAAACAAAAAAATAATAATTAAAATAATTTCCCTGGAGTCCGTAACATGTATAACATGACACTCTCTTACAAATATATTTTGTTTTCTCTATTTTTTACACTTAGAAGATAAAAAACTGCAAATGAGCTTGGTCTTTTTTATACTTTCAATAAACGTTTTCGACAGTTTTCAACTAAAAAAAGACCCCCAGAGGCTCCCTTAAATTTAAATGGACAAAGCCAGAGGTCATGTTGTATGCAGGGAAAAGTCTGTAATACACGCTTTGGGACAAGTTAGCCCTCGTGATAAGGGTGCAGTAGAACGTTTAAGCATCAACAACGAGTGCGAGTAAGACATTTACGGTGCGTTCGATTGAAAAATTTATATTTATATTTTGGATTTCGCAATAAAAAAAATAACGGACTTCGTGGATTTCCTTCTTGAACGATTTTTTGGGAAATCCAAAAAAGAATTTGCAAAACTGTTTTCGTGAACACTGGTCTTTTTTTTTCTGCTAAATTAAATCATGTCCGCGCTTCCCAGACTGCTGCTGTTCTTGTTGAGGACAGAAAAGGAAGAGAATAAGTAAATCAAAAGCCAGGATTTCTCGGGCGTTTAAATCGGTCTTTTGGATTTCGCTTTTTATGGCATATCCGAAATCCAGAAATCCCAGAGTCAGGGAGTGATTACTAAAGGAGACAGAGAAATCAATGAAACGCATTCTGTAAATCTATAAACTTTGATACTAGTTAATACACAGCAAAAACGTTTCTTTTGCCTTGTCGGCAACGGCAAGTTCTTGAAGGAAAGGTTGTTTTGATGTGATCAATTTTGATCAACAGGCGTTTTTTGCGTTTTTTAGGGAAGTCAAGCGCGAGGCAAGCGAGAAACGCTAGACATAGGCAGGCGCTCCTCGATCGTAGTCTGAACCCCACAGGTTAGGGGAAAGAGACGACTGACATTTCAGACTTCCCTCCATCGCTTCGCGCTTGCGTTCGCTCACCTGAAAACGCGAAAAGATAACACCTGTTGTATAGGCTATCCATTTCCTCTCATATGTTTGACTATAGATTATTATTTTGGGTCACGCTATCAAAAATAAGAATGGAAAGTATACAAGATAAATGCCCAGAATCTGGCATATGAAAGAAGATGAATAAGCAAACAGCGTCACCAAGATTCATGTCTAATTTTCATATGTGAGCCACTATGTTTTGTCCAAATTTATCGACCTTTGCATGGAGACGCCATGTTGGTGTACCCCGGGAGGGAACCAACATGGCGGCCACGGGAAACCAACACTGAGAAGTTATGCTAGGAAAGTTTGTATTCATCACTCGAGGAACTCGACTAATACACGTTTTAATACAAGAACTCGTCAGGAAGCAAAATCTAAAAAAAAAACACTCTTTTGACGTTTATGACAGTTCTCGCGGAGCCATTTAAATACAGCGTCTTGAAAAAATAACAAATTCAACGGTACTTTATGTCAAAACGAAGAAACCTCTCAAACTGAAAATTTGCGAAAACATAAGTTTTTGACTGCTCTAAAACTCAGAAGAACTGATATTTCTTTAGTTTGATTGCGTCACGTGAAAACCAGCTATACATGCAACGCACAACAAATATCAGCTCTAAAGATTTCGTTAGCATTGATGATAACATATCAACTATATAGTAGGGTTATCTAAAAATGTGCTGAAAATGAACACTAATATCTTCTCTGTACTGATAAATAAGATTTAGAGATATTTTTATCACGAAATTATATTTATTTACAGTGAGCTTTAAACGATTCATGCATGGTTTTGCAACCTCCAAATTTTCCACCAAACGTTTAGAAACCAGAAACTGTTTTGTTTTATAACCTATGACCTTAAGATTCATCTCCTTTCTGGGTAGAAGAAGTTATTTTTATTAATACATTTCTTCGCAGAAATTTGATGACAAAAAAAGACAGATTTTATACATTTACACTAGTCATTAAATGTGGACTTCATAGAATTACCCAATACTTATTCATTTCATTTCTTTACTGAGAAACTATCAATATAAAGCTTTATAGATGGATGATTTTAAGTTTCAAGGATCATAAATAAAATATTGGATACAAAACCATGTATGAAACCAAAAATTGAATTGATAAAGTGAAAAGGTACCGCCTTGTGGTGAAATTCACAGATTTCCTGAAAAGCGCACATTTTATGAGTTAACAGCTGTTGCCCGAATGGGTCATTCAAAATCTTTGATGGGTTTAAATCCCCCGGCTAAATTTTTAAAAGGCGCAAACACTGACCAAATTTGGCGATTTAACGTCAATAATCCAATAAAAGAATACTCGTAGGACGAAATGAATTGGAGCTTGAGGAATTGACTGGAAGATTTCAATTGCTTAAAAAATACAAAATAGCCAAAACACTGATTAAAACAAACGGCAAAAATACACTG